TGTATTAGTCTGTTATTGTAAAATTCAAGGAAAGGTTTATCTATGGAAGGAAATTTTCTTTGTTGGTTACCAGGAGTGGGGGGGGGGAAGGGGAGGGAACACGGTTAGACAGTAGAGGTAAGTATTGATTTGGGTGAAGAGAAGGGCAATGTACCAAATATGAGCGGATCAATATGGTGGCACTGAGGAAGAGAAAGACACAGAGATACATGGGAGGTACAGACAACAAAGATGAACCCTTTCGCACATACAGTACTCCACTGTCAGTGAAAGCAAACATGGGTATATGGGTGGAGAGAAGGGCTGAACTAGTAGGTATGTCTATGAAGCGGGGAGTGTACCCAAGACCACGTACAGGGTGGCAGACAATGGTCCTATAAGTTTAGTTGTATGATCTGAATTCCGGGTGTATAGTAGAGCTGACAAGGGGCAAGGTTGTAGTGACTTCTTGGTCGCAGCCAGCTAACCAGAGGGACCAAGCAGTTGAACCTGTGGGCTCGGGACCATAGTTGCAGGGGACATCAAGCTCAATTGGCATTAATATACTACACAAAACATTGTTCCACCTCCCAGTCACGAGTAGCGACTGGGATCTTAAAAGCTTGCAAGATGCCATCTAGATGCAACAAAGGGTCACTCCTTGTCCAGAGCAAAGAAGAATGAAGAAAACCAAAATTCATGGAAACAATTAGTCCTAGCGACTAGTACACCATCGGATCTGCAGCCTATACAACTATGAGACCAGAAGAACTAGACGGTGCCCGGCTACCAATGTTAACCACTTGGAAGGGGATCTATGTCGGAGATTCTGGATAGAGAGGGAGAACAATGTTGAACAAAACTCAAAATCATTTGGAGAAAAAAAAAAAAAAAGTGGGGAGACCAGGTTTGCTGGTCCGAAAGAACCTGGTGGGACCACTGAGTCCATGGACCATAGGTGCCCTTTAGGTCTGGAATTGAACCCACACCTGTGGCTTCCAGCCAAACAAAAGACAAGCATATGAGTTGAACATTTACTTGAGGTAGAAACACTCCTTGGAGAGAACAATCATGGGAGAAAGAAGGCCTGTTTACGCATAGGGAGACAACTCAGGGGGCAGGAGTGCAAGGAGGGATAAACACAGGAAAGAGGTAACTATTGGGAGGCAGTGGGAGGGGAGCTGTTGCACTGGGGTAAATTGTAGTCAATGTCATGAGACAAAGTATATGTGAACTGCTCTGTGGAAAGTGAATTTGCGGAGGCGGGGCAAGATGGCGGACTAGGCAGAAGGATTGCACAGACCCTCTTCAACAAAGAAAAGGGAAACCAATTAACACAGACACAGAAGATAAT